TGGATTTGCACTAATCAGTTGTTCCACAAGGTGGCAGCACTGGCCCGGGTCATTGTTTCATAGTAGAAAACAAAGCTAAAGAGATGGAACAACAACAACAGATGCCCGTATTGACGAGCACTTGTGAGGGGGTTTATGAGAGAGATGCAAATTTAGTTTAGAAGAGTACAAAGACATTTTTATCGGTCATGCTGGACAAAGATAAAGCTTTCTAGAGCGCATGTGTCATCCGCCTGCATTCGCACACACTATCAAATGGAGTATACGTTGAATTGCTATGTGTTCAACTTTACGTAAACGCTAGCGTACGTGTACACAAATGAAGTATACTTTGGTCTTAAGCATTTGGAACTCTCTGACCGAATGTTACATTGACAATGCTGCATGTCCATGTAGCTGTTACGGGGCGAACGAGACGTGAGATGTGTGGATCCATGTGCAAGGCTTTATTTACAAAGGCGTGGTCAATAAACAGACAAGGGTCAGATAAAACGGGTATATCACAGGCAAGACAAAGAATATTCCTAGGGCTAGCGTGGGTCTTCGATCGGCAAACAGTATCCAGTGGGCTTGACAAGAGGGGTAATCCAATAACACGAGCAATAGTCCAGGCGAGGTGCAAACACAGTCCGAAACAGCAAGCCAAAGGGTTAATCCAAGAAACACAGGCAGAAGGTCAGGAAACAGATAACAAGGCAACACGAGGTGGCTAGACTAAAACTAGAACTAGAACTAGAACTGGTAACTAGGACCGGGAACTAGGAATGGCTCTGTAATGCAGCTATCGCTAGAAGAGTGATATGCGCTAAACAATACTCGGCAGTTTGAGAACGATCTGAGTGAGTGTAATATAGTGTGTGTGTGACTGGTTACAGCTGTGTGCAATCAGTGCAATGGATGATGGGAAATGTAGTCCGTGGTGACGTGTAATAGTCTGTGTAGTGAGAGGTCAATATGATGGACGAGTGACCTCAGGTGGCGATAGGACAGAAGTCCATGGACAGGATTCGTAAGTAGCATTCAGGACTCCATGTTGCAAATAAATGTATTACTGTTATTATTTTATTCAAATGTTGTGTCTTATTATGTCTAATTTACTTTTAAACATTTTGAAACTAAACTTGCTTACACTACCTCTTAACTTCTTAAATCATATTTCTGTCGCTGACAAAAAATATTTTGTATTACATTAATATAAAGACAAATTTAATTATTCTACTTACATTTGTATGTGAAGTCAAAACCAACCTCAACTTTGCTTCAAAATGCATCGCAAGGACTCGTGACCCAAGATCACATGATCACAAATGGAAATCACTTCCTTGAAGTGACCATCACATGTTCTCTTCACTAACGGTCTTCTGGAGGGGCCCTTCATGAAGGGATTCAGTTGTTCACTTTCATTTGGAACCTCCCTACTAATGGTGTCCCATTTCCATTTGGAATTCGCTGCGAATTTCATTCATATTACCCATATTCATACTATATAGAACACAGTTTTTAATGGTTGCAAAGTAAGTTCAAATTCAAATGTAGTTCCTACTCAGATTTCAGATACACAGAGTGACTTTTCGCCACCTACTGTTGGTTTTAATTTCATATTTAGAGTATAATTTTATTTTTATTTTTTTAATGCATTAATGCCATTTTTTTGTATTGTCTATTCACTGCCTTTCTCATTTAACACAATGATTACTTTAAATTATTATGGGGGGTATTTTCTCAGCCCAAACTGATGAGTGATTAATTTATGATTAAATTCATTTAATATGCACATCATGTAATTTATTAGATTACATTTTAATTGCTTGATAGCCTGAAATTATACATGCTAGAATTGTTTAAACACTTGGTATTAACCATCATTATTATGAAAAAAAATATTTAACAAAATGACAGAAGGATTCTGAGAGTATAACATCCTACATAAATGTATAATGATTTTGCAGAAGTCATTATAATTGTAGCAACTATTTTTGCCATAACTACGAATACCATAGTAAACATTTGTAAGGGTTTTCTGGACACTCAGCCTTACTTATATAACACTATTGAAACCAGTAACTGCTTTCAAAGGCCAATCTGTTAATGCTTTAATCGACAAAAACAAACTTCTTAGTCTGATTTTTGAGCATCATGTGACTGTAGAACTCACATGGTAGACACACTGTCTCATTTTCTCTCTATTCACCTCTCTTTACGCCAGCACAAGCTCATGGGTTTGTTTGCTGTAGGCAAACTACAGGGTCAGGGCGGATGCTCAGGTAAAAATTACATTTTGTGATATTGTATCTGTTCTCTGTTCAGTTGTTTTGGTGATTTTTGAGAAGTCACTTTGCTTATGATTTGTTTTTGTAATATGTGCGTCTTTAAGACTGGCTTGTCTTGTCAGACTCAATTAATGTTGGTCATAATGCTGACCTGTTAGAAGTAATGTTAACTTTTTGTATTTGTTTCAGTCTGCTTAAGTTTATTGGGGTGGATTTTAGGCTCCTAAAGCCATTTTAAGCAATTGATCTACAGTTGTACTAAATTATGCACTTTAATACATAAAATTAAATTAAAAAATCAGACGTATTTGAGTTCTATTGCTTATCAAATGGTAATTGAAACCTCATACAGTCTAAGAGACATACTATGATGAAATGGACTACTAGACCCTGTCTTTTACTGAATTTACTGAAAGCTAATTTTCTGCTTATCCCAGTATGTATTTATGGGATTAGAGTGTTTGAACAATGGCCTTATTCTTATGTGTCAGTGTATTTCTGAAATCTTTCCTATTGTTCTGTTTCATGTGGCTGGATCTTACCCTGCTGTGACAGGACTGTGGGTGAAAGCAACCCTAACTACATTAGAGCAGAATTTGGAGAAGGCTGTGATGGAATTTTGCTGTGTTTTATCGGATGTTCTATGCTCCTGTTAGTCTAGTTGTAGAAATAGTGGATGCTGCAGGTAGTTGTCACACTTTTCAGTTTCCAGTGAGTATTTTAAATGCTTATTTTATGAAACTCCATTTCTGTATACCATAGAGAGGGATACTTTGAAGTCTTGTCTATAAAAAAAAAAATCTTTATTTTCTCTGTTACAGCCCTAAAAAAAGACCTTTTGTGACAACTTGCCAAAATTGTGACAACTTGACCTAATCTGACATAAAAAAAAAAATACTCTTGTTCTGAGAGCACAGTACCGTAAACATATAGTTGACGAAAGTTTTGGTTTTATTGTTCGTTTGTTAACCAGGCAGCAGCTATAGCAAAAATATGACAGACATTTTAATTTGAAGGACAGTAATAATAATAATAATAAAACCTTTTAATAGGGTTTTGAACTAGGTTTTTAATCCCAATTAAACAACTTTTAAAATAACTTTGTTGCGCTATATACCTGTGATATTTTATAATTATTTATAATGTACTGTTATACTTTAAACTATACTTCATTATACTATGTATTATGCTAATTATACTATACTAATTCATTAAACTAATTACATTATAGTAATTTAATGTGCTTTTTATTAGTTCTATTTTTTACTATTCTCTTAATCTTTCATTCATTTTATTGCAGTTTTAGTTTAAATGTATTACTTCAATTGCTTCAAAGGCAACATTTCTAATTTGCATTTAAATGCTTTAAGTTTTTCATTTAATATTTATGTTTTATTTCATCTTTATTTCAGTTCACAAAAACAATTTATAATAGTTTTAGTTTTCATTAACATTTTTATTTTAATTGCTTATGACACTGATATGCATTGTGAAGTCAGTTAACTAATTAAATAAAGTTAACTTTTATGCTTTTTGTGCTTGTTGATTAGACAAATGCAATTGGTTAATTTAGAGGCTAAATAATGCGTAACTAAATTTAAAAAGATAGAGGAAGATAGCCATGGATAAAAGTAGATTAAGCGAGAAGAATATAAGAAATCTTTACTGCCTCCCTGTATGTGAAGTTATTTTCTTGTTTAATTCTGTCACAGTCAGATCTCTCAGGGAAAACAACATTCCCAAGTGTAATGTTCAACAATTGAAAATGTGTAAACCTTTTAAATCAGGGCTATTGCATTACGTCCTCTCTTCAATGTGAAATTTGTTGTGAGGTTTGTGGCTTGAATTCAGGCCACAGATGACTTGCATCCCACCACTCGTGGGGTGTCCCACCGACTCTGAATCGTAACACTTGCTCTGATTCAGATTTGCCAGAAAGCATTACTGCCTGTTGTTTGTAGGGCCCTGATTTTGACGGATTGAGATTTGCCCATACATTTGAAGGTCAATAGTTACCATGGGACTGTTAGTAAACAGTGAGGGTTTTGGCCATCTTGGCCAGTCTGTGGGCTGGAATGAAAGCCTTTAGGACATTTGGGCACTGAATGGCATATATCGCTGCCAGAATAACTGGCAGGAGTTTAAAGGTCTTTGACTGGACCACAGTGAATCTCTTCATTGCTATTGCTAGTAGATTTATTTGGGTGACCAGATGGAGCTTTACAGTATTTGGGAAGAGTTTCGTTGGCTTAACAAAATGAGATTGATATAATCACCTGTTTTGATTCTAAAGCAAGTATTTCAAATAACGACTGTCCTTTCTCCTGTATTCTTTCACAAGACTCTTAACCACTCGTGCTAAATCCTTCCCCTTGGCAGGATTTTGTTTAGAGAAGCTCTTGAAGAGATTTTCCCAGATTTGGTTAAACAGCCCATGCCATTTGTGTTTAAATGTAACAGGTGGGAATTTACTATGTATTCGTGAGTACCGTTTAGATAGAGTAGTCTCTCTGAGCTTCTATAGGGACTTCATTTCTCTTTCTTTGAGACTCTTTGGCTAGGGGTTCCTAGGCTTTTTTTTAATCAAATATCAAACTGAAAGATCTTAAATAGTTTTTACTGTAATTTTGTAATGTTTCATTGTATTTTCTTTTCTTTTGAGTGTGCATGCAATTTAGCAACAAGCACTGGTTCTTAGGTTCTAATGGTGTTTGTTCCCCTTTTTTTCAGCATCTGATTTGGTGCCACCATGAGTGGGGGAGTGAATGTGAAAAGTCTTCCACGAGCCCAGCCGGGCTCCGGCATTCCTCTGCACAGGACAAGACACCCCTCCCCGAAACCTGAACCCAAGAGCACCAGCAGTGGCCTTCCGAGACCGTCCACACACATCCCCGTTAGCAACAAAACCTCCTGTAGCAGCAGCCCTACAGCTGTCTCCTCCAGAGATATGCTGAGGGACACCACCCTCAGAAACCAGCATCTGCTACTAAGAGGCAGTCCACCTAGTCAACGTTCTTCCACCCATCCTCAAACTCAGACCCAAGACTCTAGATCAGCCCACAGCAGTCCACAAGTTCGACGGAAAGAGTCCCCACTTTTGAGGGGTGCTCTGGATGGGTCCAAGAGTTTGCTTGATCTTCGGTCCAACGGCAACAAGAACTTCCAGAGTGGAATCTTTCGTTCTCAGATGGGAAGAATGGACAACGATAACAGTTTGATCTCAGAAGAACTCAAATACCATGAGGAGAGCGCTGCTTCTGGAAGCAGTCACAGCAAGACGGGAATCCCTTTGTTCAGATTTATTAACAAAAACTTGAGGCCTGGTCCAGCAGCCACTAACGTAGATACGGGTCTCCTCAGAGTCCGTCGAGAGAGAGTGTCCCTGCAGAACAGTGCCTCTAGTAGTTTTTCAGATGAGGAGATGTGCACCCCAGATGACCTCAGCCCGGAGGTCCCACAAAAACCACCCCCCGAGACTACTGCAGTCCCAAAACAGGAAACCTCTAGTGTTGAGAGGCTCAATGCCAAACAGTCACCGAAGGTCAATATGGCTGCTGTGGCACCTTTCAGATACAGGTAAGTTATGGAAAATATACTGAAGGATTGTAGCACTACTATGATTAAGAGATCAGCTTAGACCAGGACCAGAAAAGAGCAGGGGTGTATTTCCCATACAACTATTTAACTGGCTGCTTAACTACCATAGTATGATACAGACATTAACAAGAAACTATCCTTTTAACCACAGGTTGAGAACTGTTCCAACCACACAAGTTTGCGAGTCTGTTTGTGAAAAGAAATGCTGAATCGTTGTTAGTAATGACAGAACTTGTGGTCATAGTTGGTTATTAGTTAGTTGGGTCAATGCTTTGGGAAATGGATGCCAAGTTGGTGTATTTTGGTTAGTGCAGATTTAGTTTAATGCGGATCAGCATAGTTGATGCTTTTCACCAGCATAGCATAGCCTACAGAACTGACTCTCCATGATGGCTTTTCTGGTGAAGCTTTTTGACATTTTTGGCTTGCTATTTAAGCCGTCTAATAGGGACATCAGCACCTCGACTAGCTATGCTGGTCTTTTCAGCAAGGAAGTTTCATACAGTTGTACCACACACTTTTCACACTATGGTTAACACTTGGCTAACATATTAACGGTGATTTTAATCCTGGGTTAAACAAAGTTTCACACTTATTTTTAAAAGGGAATTAGTGCCACATTGTCAGAAAAAAAAATGTTCAGAAATGGTACTTTTAGGGATACAACAGGTTTTAACTGGGGAAGTAACCTTAAAGGGACCTTATCTACCTCTAAAAGATGGATATTAGTACCTTAAATGAGTAATATGTACCTTTAAGGTACTACTGTAAAACTTTTAGGTGTAAATTAGATACAAAATCGCTTGTTGTATCTCAAAAAGTACAGTTTTTCTGAGAGTTCACTTTTAAACCCAGGTTAAGAATCCTGCTTACATTAACTGGAGTCAGATTCATTTACATTACATTTACATTTAGTCATTTAGCAGACGCTTTTATCCAAAGCGACTTACAAATAAAACTAACAAAAGAGCAACAATATGTAAGTGCAAAATGACAAGTCTTGGTTGGCTTAACGCAGTACACGTAGCAAGGCAATTATATATAAGGGCAAGACATATATAAAATTTGTTAAATTTGATGCATATAATATTGCTAATCATGTAAATATGCAAATAAAAGCATTAAACCAGGATTTACAAAAAGTAAGTCAGGATAGATCAAGCTTACTCAAGATAACCCAGGATTACATTGGGATCTGTTTTTAAAAAATTATCCTGGGCTACAACTTTCAAGCGTGAAACGTCCAAAAGAAAAAGTGTTTGAAGCAAAAGTTTGAGTAAACAATTTTTTTTTTGTTATGATGAAGGGTAGAAATTCTAATCTTGCAGAAACTGAATTGAAAATGCACTGTATCTTTCTAGCAATTTAGCCTAATAAACGTTTATTAGGCTATATTTGACAGCGTTTCAAGTGTGTTCCAAAATGTTTTAACATGTTTTAACTGCTGTACTTTTATTGTATTACATGGTTTGTTACTTTTCTAGCAATTCAGTTCTGTTGCTATAATTTGTTTTTCCTCTGTCTGTCCTGACATATGTCTGTGCCCAGCTCAATCTCTCTTTTTTTTTGGTCTCTCTCACTCTTTTTCTCCCCATTTCATCCAGTTTTTACAAATATGACAGTCCATCGTTTACGCTGATAGATTAGCCTCCTTTTCCACTCGTAATCTTTCCAGCGCCGAATCAGTCATGCGGTTTAAGTTTCTGTCCCGCTCTCAGAGACAGTGTCACTCCTGCCCTCTGTATGCCTGCTGGGAATTCTGGGGCAGAGTAGATGCTTAAAAAGCTTCTCCTGCCAGCGCGAACACTCTCTGAATTATCTGCTCTAATGACTCAGTACAGTGGACACCCGGTGGGCACGATATACACTGGCATCAGGGCGACTGCCATGTTAGCGTAACTGAATATAAACCAGGCGTTACTGGGACAAAGCTGCTGATAGAAAATAGATTTTAGAATTATTTTCATATTGTTATTGCTAGATTGTTAACAGTTATTGAAAAATACTAAGAATTCTTGGCTGGCGATCAGTGAATGTTTGGTACACGTTTCCAATTGGGTTTTTGGTTATGAGGCTCTTGAAAAGTTAACTTTTTAAGTTAACTAATTAACTTTTTTTTTCTTCATTTTGTTTTGTAAAGACTGCAGATTCAGGAAGATATACCTCTGGATGACTTCAGTGACTGTTCCTCTGACTCAATAGAAGTCTGCTGTGATGACCTCAATACTGGTGAGTTGTTGGCACTCTCGTTTTATTATCTTTTGCGTAGGCTTTAATATTATTCTAAATGATCAGTTATGTTTTTAGGATATGTTCACAATCTTAAGGTGCCCGATTATGACCTTTTTTGTAACCTTTCAAATATGTCCAATATGAGATGCTCATAAAATTACCCACATGCATAAAAACACTAGTACACGTTTCCAACTCGGTATGCACATCATAATCTACGTTCAAAAATATAAAAATTTACTTTTTTTGACAGTTTAAAGCAGTGTTAACTGCTGACATTTTTTCACAGACGAAAACGAGATGATAGCGAAATAAAAACTCGTTTTGTATGACAAAAACTATGACGAAAATCAATTGACATTTTCGTCAACGAATAAAAACGAGGGAGGGTAGGATCCAGTCAGATCTCATGCGTGGTTAGGAGTTTAGATGCGCACATTTGAACTGTAGCAGTGATCTACACTGATCTATCCGGCAGGATATTAGCTAGCATACACTTGCCACACATCCCATAAAACGTTAAAACAATCTAAATATCTGGGAGTAAGAGAAGAGCAGACAAAAGAGAACTCAATTTGTCCGGTTTTCTGAGCGCACACACCCGAAGCGCGCACGCAGAAAAGCGCCTCTCACAAAGCGCACAACTGAATTCAGTTCTCTTTCGCGTCGCATGAACGGAGAAATACACACAATGATGTCGAATTGTCTGTTTTGACGAGTATTCACATAAACACACTCGGTTACATCTCAAGTTGGGAGAATATCGGAAGTGTATCAGTATATGCATTCGGTATTTAATGGGACAGAAGCCTAATTTAGTTACTGTTGTATTTGTGTCTTTAATGTTAATCAAGCAACAAAAGAAAGAGAGAAAATCACTCACTGCTCTTGACTGAATGACTTTAGTAACCCTAATAAGGATTCATCTAAATGTATTTATATAAATAAATATGTCTGCTTGAAAGAATGAAGAATGTGGTAAGTCGTTATAAAGAATGAATATGATAACCATTAGTATTTCACTGAAAGGCGAACCATGTTCTTGTTTCTTTATGAGAAGTGGTTTTAATTAATTTTAATATAAAGGCATGTTTTGTCAAAACTGTGTCTATATTGCATGATAAAACCTTAATATCAAACCTATATAATGAGTTTGGAAATTTTAGAGAAATGCTTAATAAATGCATTACACTAACTAAACCCATTAGATTTTAGCCGACTAAATCTACTGTAGATCTAGTCGACTAAAATCTTATGACACTTAGTCGACTAAAACTAAAACAATTCAGATGACTAAAATATGACTATAACTAAAATATAACTAAATGGCATTTTAGTCAAAAGCCTATGACTAAGACTAAATAAAAATTTGCAAAATTAACACTGGTTCAAAGCAAAAGTCACATTTGTGACCTAATGTATATCAGTTTATATTTTAAATCCGTGCATTTTTGTGCCTCTCTATGCAATATTTTATAAACTATAAATAACTATATATAAAATATAATTCAGGCCAAGGGTAAAATAATTGTGCAGTTACATTAAGTTTGCTTGAAACTGCATGAATTCTGATATGAGATGAGATGTCATGGGCAAAAAATGTGATGCATATCTGATTTAATTCTGAGTATGGAAGTGTCAGATTCAATGACAGTTTTCTTATTCAAACACTAATATGTGCTATGCATATGAGTTTGGAAATTTTAGAGAAATGCTTAATAAATGCATTACACTAACTAAACCCATTAGATTTTAGCCGACTAAATCTACTGTAGATCTAGTCGACTAAAATCTTATGACACTTAGTCGACTAAAACTAAAACAATTCAGATGACTAAAATATGACTATAACTAAAATATAACTAAATGGCATTTTAGTCAAAAGCCTATGACTAAGACTAAATAAAAATTTGCAAAATTAACACTGGTTCAAAGCAAAAGTCACATTTGTGACCTAATGTATATCAGTTTATATTTTAAATCCGTGCATTTTTGTGCCTCTCTATGCAATATTTTATAAACTATAAATAACTATATATAAAATATAATTCAGGCCAAGGGTAAAATAATTGTGCAGTTACATTAAGTTTGCTTGAAACTGCATGAATTCTGATATGAGATGAGATGTCATGGGCAAAAAATGTGATGCATATCTGATTTAATTCTGAGTATGGAAGTGTCAGATTCAATGACAGTTTTCTTATTCAAACACTAATATGTGCTATGCATGAGAGAAGATTTGGGCCACATTCATCTGTGTTTCCACAAGACGAACTGAACTTTAGAAAAGATTGAGCATGAAATCTTTCCCTGAACCCTGAAAACTGAAGACAAAAAGCATTAAATCTGTCCTTCCATCTACTTTCTGGCCTCTCTGAGTGCCTTGTTGCCTGTGGAGGTGGGTGCGTAGTGCAGTAAGAGAGTGATGGCTGCAGTTTTCCTTCCCTACAGAGAGAGAGAATATAGCAGTCACAGAGACAGTCTTCACCCCACTGCTCTGGCCTAGTATTATAGCCCGCTAGATCTTCCCCAACTGCAGATGGAGAGTTCAGTTGTACGGGTTCTTTTACACTTTAAACTATTTAATATAAAGGTTACAAAAAGGGTTTTACAGTCTGATGCAAAAGAAGAACCTTTTAAGCTCCAAAGACAATGTTTGTAGCTTGCAAGTGATGCTTTTACCCAGAACATCCCAGCAAACACCCAGAACACCCAGAAACCACCTAGCAATTGCTCAAGTATATCAGTTATTATTGATTCAAGAACCTTTGCTAAACCTAATCTGCTGTAAAGTACAATTGAAGAATCGTTATTTTGGAGTGTAATTTCAGTATGGTATGTTTGCTTTATTTCTAAAGGAATTAATTGATGTTCACAGTGTTTGTCGCACACGTCCTGAAAAGTGAAGCTGCTGGCTCTTTGATCGCCCCCTGGTGGCTGGCTGCAGTGCAGGTCATAAACCCCGCCCTCTCCGTGTAAATGAATGGGACTTGAGTCAAAATAAAATAATAAGGCGCGCGCGCCTTCACGAGTTTATACTGTACAAAAATTTTTAAGTTTATAAATAGGAGTGGGATTAGAGACTATACAAAATATTTTAATGCTATATTGTTACTAAAATTGTTATTTTCCTGCATATTTTGGTCATTTGCGTTTTATATCCTTTTATATTCGCTATAAAATGGGTAGGTTAAGGTTTGGGGGTAGGTTAAGGGGTCTAAAAATCTAAATTGCGTATTAATAAAATTATAAAAATGCATATTTGCTGTAAAATGGGTAGGTTTAGGTTTGGAGGTAGGTTAAGGGGTCTAAAAATCTAAATCGCTTATTGATAAAATGATAAAAATGCATTGATACGAATATCTATCTTGATGATATAAAAGTTACGTAAATATTTGTACGTTTTTTAGCTAAAAATGCGTAGCGATTTGTACGTTTTAAACATTGAAATACGTATAAATTGTACATATTAGCATTAATAAAAACGTACAAAAATTTACGTTTTGTGCTTGTAAATGTTACATATTAATACCTACAAATAAACATGAGACCAGGCTGCATACTGAGATGCTTTGGCTTCACTTTTCTATAGTGGAAGGAATAGGAGACGCGTCATCCATCTTTTTTTACAGTCTATGGTTTATGCATGCAAATTTCATGTGGACTGCAACATGCAACCTAGAACACATGTTGATTTAATTGTGGTGATTTATGTGGTTAAAAGCTGATTGATTAAATGTCTGGTTAAAGATGCAGCTGTTGATAATCTGGAGGTCTTAGAGCATAGACTACATCAGGAGTGTAGAGTTTGTGCATACGTGTGTTTGAAACGGGTCTTTGCTGTACTTTAGGATTATAATCTCTCTGTTTTCAGATGACAGCACTGTTAGACAGACCTAATCTTGATGAGGATTACAGAATTTTCAGTTTTGATGGAAACTGTGTACAAATTCCCAGCAGAAGAATGGTTTGTTTTAGTGATATACTGCTATTTTTTATCAACCGGTCATTATTTAGACATGAATGATGAATTTGCTTTAATCCATTGATTAATGATGCTACTGTTCGAAAGATGCCAGTTGAAAAAAAGTCTCTTATGCTCAACAAGGCTGCATTTATTTGATCAAAAATACAGTAATATTGTGAAATATTATCACTGTTTAAAGTAACTGTCTTCTATTTCAATATATTTTATAATGTCATGCTCTGATCAAGATTTTTGAGACCGATCACAGAAAGCAGTATCTGCCGATACGATCACCGATACCGATCTTTTTAAAGCCTTATTTTTGTCATGTGGAATTATTTATAGTTATACTCCAATCAGGATTTTTAGACATTTATTCAGGGCCTGAATTTCATTGTTGAATATGGGGGGAATGTCCCTCTTACAGGTGACTCTTGTGAGAGGGGATTTTTATTTTTTAATTTAAGAGGTGGAGGGGAGCATGTTTTAGAGATTTTTCAAAAATATATATTGATCTAATCTAAATGTTCGATCATGAAGCGCATTTTTGTTTTTACACTCATGCAATTGTTGCACAATAGCTTACACACAGCACAACACAGTTGTTCAAGCAAGTGGCAAAACATTTAAACTACTTTTCTTACGTTATCACATTCTAAATTAAAACTTACCACTGACAGAAACACTCAGCTCTACTGCCTTTTCTTTTGCATTTAAATCTTTATTACAGATCCTGCGGTTCATAAAGAACTTAGTTTTTCTACCTCCACGAGTGCCATCTATTATTGCCTTGTTTATCTAAAAGTGCTCTTTTCCTTTAAACCTAGCCAATAAGCGATATGTGTTGACTGTGAAACACAGCAAACTTTAATTATATGCATTTATGGTGTAATTACTACATTGCTGGTTGGGAAGGATCTTGACATTGTGTTGACAGGTTTGTCAGTGTGGCTTGGCTCGGTGCCCTCTAGAGCAAGTTCAGAACTCTGATTAGTGACAGGATAGATTGTGGGGTTTTTACCTGTCTTTT